TTCCAGCCCTTCATACTCTTCTCGATGAGGACCTGGGGACTAGCAGCGAAGGCCTTAACACAAAGGTCCTTCAACTGGTCCATGTTCTCGGCGAAACCACTGCCGAGACCACCCAGAGCGTAGGCAGCACGAACGATAACAGGGAACTTGATCGCCTCCACGACCTGCAGAGCCTCCTCCAGATTCGAGGCGGACGCAGACTGAGCGCACTTCTCATTGATGGATTCCATGCTGCGCGCGAAGAATTCACGATCCTCAGTGGTGATGATCGTGTCAATGGGCGTACCGAGAACCTTAACTCCGAGACCCTCGAACTCATCCTTGAGCTGGATACCGACCTGCAGCGCGGTCTGACCACCAAAGGTGACGTAAATAGCGTCGGGACGCTCGTGCTTGATGACCTTGCGCACAAAGTCGGCGTTCACGGGCAGGAAGTACACCTTGTCGGCAAGACCCTTGGAGGTCTGGATGGTGGCAATGTTGGGGTTGATCAGAATCGTGTAGATTCCTTCTTCCTTCAACGCCTTGATGGCTTGACTACCAGAGTAGTCGAACTCTCCGGCCTGACCGATACTCAGACCACCACTTCCAAGGATCAAGACCTTCTTCACCGAGACGCGAGGGGAGATCTTGATGTTCTCTTCCTTAGTGCCACCGGGGAACGACACGGGCTTGGTAAGCGCTTCAGGGGAGGCAATAGTCTCCTGGATGCTGCTGATGAACACATCAAAGAGATACTCGGTATCCCTGGGACCGGGGGTGCTCTCGGGGTGGAATTGAACACTGAAGAAGGGTCGGCTAGTGTGTCTGATACCCTCGTTACTGCCATCGTTGGCATTCACGAACAGCTCCTCCCAGCCTTCGGGCAGGGACGAAGCATCAACGGCATAACCGTGGTTCTGAGAGGTGATGTGGCACTTTCCAGACACCATGCTGGTGCAGGGAATGTTGTGGCCACGGTTACCGAACTTCATCTTCATGGTCTGGGCACCAACGGCACGCGAGATGAGCTGGTGACCCAAGCAAATTCCGAAAACGGGAGTCCGACCTTCGCCGATTGTCTTGGACAGGTTCTGGACGGTGGTCGAAAGGGTAGCGGGGTCACCGGGACCGTTGGAGACAAAGAGACCGTCGTAGTCCTTGCCCGCAAGGGTAGGGAAATCGTAGTTCCAAGGCACGACCAGGACTTCAACGCCACGCGCCAACAGGCAACGCAGTTGGTTGTACTTCAAGCCAACATCCAAGCAAAGAACGCGGACAGGGCGGCCAGAGGGGTGTTTAAGGGCAACATTCTCGGGAGGGGAGAAAAGACGGGGTTCCCGAATCGACACTATGACAGTCTCAGTCAAAACAATTCTTCTTCCTCTTAGCCCGGGGCAGTTGGGTGTAGCTACTAACCTTCATCCACGAGGTTCGTCGTGTTCGGGTCCACCCATTCAGTCTGTTCGAAGAATGACCTCCAGGTATCCTTTTCAGTGGGAAGCCAGTCCACGGCGCCGTCAGTGGATCCGGTCTTCTGCAGCAGCATGCGACCCAGCATGCTACCCTTCTGACGGATACGCTTGGTAAGGGCACGAGTGTCAACTCCGTGCATAGCAGGAACACCCTGCTCCTTCAGCCACGAGCCCAAGGACGACTCAGCGAGGAAGTGGGAGTAGTCCTCTCCCGCGTAGGTGGAAACAACCAGAGCGGCAATGTGGATCTGAGTCGACTCGAAGTACTTAGGCAACGTCTTCAACAGCTCGTCCATGGTCTCCCGCGAGGGAACACCATAGTTACCCACAAGGGGGAATGTGACGACCAGAATCTGACCCCGGTAGGAAGGATCGGTGACAGACTCCGGGTATCCAACCATACCGGTCTGAAAGACCAATTCACCTGCCACACTCTTCTCGGCACCAAAGCTGTAACCCTGGTAGACCGTGCCATCCTCGAGCTCGAGGGCAAACAGCTTGTCGCTGCTGCCTCGGACTCGGGAGGAGGCAGGTGGAATCACGGCACCATTGTTCAAGTTCATGGACGGCAGAGGCTGCAATTCCTTGCTGGCCTGGTTATAGGCCACGGCCCCTCCAGTCAAAGGGCTCGTAGGAAGCGCGGCCTCTTCGTGACCGACGGACTGCGACATAGCGGTAATTGTGGGGGGAGGGGAAGGTCCTCTCGGGGACAGTTCGGTATGGTATTCACTCTACCGTAGCATCAGCAGCCTCCAAGCTCTGTTTAGGATAGAGGAGAATGGAGAGAGAGGCCGGGGTGAGGGGGAGGGGAGGAGGTAGAATTTTTTGGCTGCTTCAGCACAGGAGGAGGAATATAGAAGAAAGGAAGAAAAAGAAATCTCGCTCGGATTTGGCAGAAATAAAATTTTGTGTACGGCGGGCTGGTCGAGCCCGCTCATTGGCTCTTCCGCTTCACCGATCCGGGGATCATCAGTCATTCTGCCGACACCCACCGCCTCGTTTGGAAAAAAAAAAAAATTCCCTTCGTTTTTGACTTTTTTTAGCGGCGTTTTGTATATCCTGTGGTCATAGATATTACGCTGGCCGATCTATGCTCACCATGCGAAGCCAATTCAACATGGCATCAACCCCAATCAATCCATTTTAGTGAGACTACAGTGTACACCGGAGTACAGGCCTCTCCCCGCAGGTTCTGAACACCGGCGATGGAGTGACTCAAACAGCCGTGACCATCAATGGAGCGGGACAACGTAGCCCTTGACATCACCGGAACGCGGGCAACGCCTAGATCGGAGGAGCAGACGACGAGTTTTCTTCCGCGCTCGTTTTGGAGGGGCAGATGACGCTACGGTGGGCACTAAGGCAAACTGCCGACCATACAAGACCCCCGAATCCAACGGGCTTGCCAGGTTTGCCACCGCAGACCCACCCCGCTTGCGGCCAGTTCGTCGCGGGCGGTCATCACTTAGGGCTTCCGCACTTGGTCTGGATTCGGCTTCTTCTCGATGCTTTCCTGGACCGTTAATTAATAAACATTGATGTACTGAGTATATTGTGTTCTTTTAAGATTAAGATTATATATGGTACTTAATTCAGCGTGTTTCTACCCTAGGCCAGTCCTGGACAGTCCTTCCAATTGTTCGACTGAGTTCCTCTTCCGCCTCCTTGGGAAGAATGATGTAATCCGTATCCTAGCTAGCGATAGGCCTCGGCAATTTAACCACTAGTGTTACCATTGAGCCGAGTGAACCTGTGAATAGCCTCGATCTGGCTTGACCTAGCTCGACAGAGAAAGCAGAATTCCCAGGATACCTAAGGCACAGAACTCATCTCGCTCAATTCTTATCATGATTACTAGTGAGATTCTGCTGGGTTGCATTGAATTGGGTTTCTCTTAAGATATTTGGAGGGGATTAAAACCAACAAACTCTTCCTCCATGTTCAAAATAGAGGCTATCAAAAAGTATTTTCTTTGCGGCTTCTACTAGTAAGGTAGAGTACTGTCTTTTTAGTGTCATCCGATTCAACGGCTATTTGCATCCACAATACGTCATGGAGTCGAAAATTCTATATGGCAGAATATTCTCGACAACGCCAACAGGCGGAGTAAAGCACATCCTCGACTTCTACGGCGTAGGAGTGGAAATATATCCTGATGCTTGGAACGGTTTAGAACTTTTCTGTGGGCTTACCCGAAGTGGGTGCCCCCTTGAGAAGATATATTTTTGGTTGTTGTCGGACCCCAGAAAAACATACTTATGTCTTATATTTAATTCTACTACCCGCCATCGCTTGACTGACTGTGCTGTCTAAGGGGAATTCTTTCCCCATTCTAGTATAGACTAAAGACTGTTGAATATCGCTTCATCAGGTAGAACTATAGTCCGTGCTTCAATAAAGCAACGGCGATCTTCGATATTTGAGGCGCAAATAATTCACGATAGGCAATGACACAATAAGATGCAAGGTAGTCAGTAAATGAGCGCATACACCGTACTCAGTACATTCCTCTACTTATCATGAGAGAAGCTTGGGATGTAAGGGGTGCGTATTGTCACGCGGAGCTAATATAGCTGCAACTGCATCATATGAGGGCATCATATCGGAGTATTTTTAGGTCGATCCTCCGCTTTGGTTAAGGTCTGTAGGCGTCCGGTCGGTGCGTAAGATAACAGTGCTTCTGCAGATGATAGAATTCTACTCCGTACTTTGTCTCTTTTATTTTTACTTTTTATTTTTATCTTTTTTTAAGATTAATTTGGCTCTAGCCCTGGACTTGCTCAGTGGCTGTTTCAATTGCTTTGAAGTAGGTTTCGAATAAACAGTGGAACCCCCGTCGGTTGACAATAAACAAAGACTGTAGGGAGCAGGGAGGACCTCCAGGCTGCATCGCAAGATGGGGTAACGAGGTGAGATTAACCAAATATGACGAGGGATTTCCGTAAGCCATGACATTAACGTTTACCTGGAAAAAAAAAAAAAAAGGTCAAAAACCAACCGTGACGAGGGTCATCCATTTGACTGGCGGATCTCGGAGGCTTTTTTTGTTTAGTGATGGCTGTGGCGACCGGGCGAACAGGCCATCGCATTCGCTAAGTTCTTCTTTGGGCTGTTTCTGGGCCGCGTCTGGATCGAAAATCAAGTATATTAGCACCCTAAAACCGTAGTAGTGGACCCCCCTTGGGCTCGCAGGAGCAGCACCAAATAAACCAATAAACCCGAACTGATCGCCCTGCAGCAAATCTCGACATGGTCGCGTTGCCCCCTCCATTGCTCCAGGCGCATGTGAGCTGCGTGATTTACCCCCGGCAAGTAGGTATCCGTAAATGCATCGACCTTCGCTGCCATTGTCCCGTTGGTCCCTTTTTTTCCCTCTCGGTCACGCGAAGTTTCTTTGATCATCGCTCAATGGAGCTTTATCAGTCTCTTATCTAGCCAGTTACACGACGCGTCTCGCTCCCTCCCCCCCGGAGATAATGCCTTGACTATCTCACACCATTCGATTGGGAATCTCAAAAAGATCGTCGACATCGCTAGTTTCCCATCATGCTGGCCTCCCTCCTGCGTCCCAAAAAACGTCGAGTCTACGCCGAGCGCTCGCCATTCTCGTCGCCCTACACCCCGCGACAGTCGCCATGGCCGTTTCACCAACGCGATCCCGAAGCTGAGGGAAGATACAATGGAGGAGATGGAAGGATCTATGAGGAATCGGAGGATGTTGAGGGTCGCGATGAAGATGAAGAAACCGAGAGAGAGGAGGATGGCCCTCTCGAAACCACGCCCCTCCTGCCTATCTTTTCAGCCTCTCACTTAGGTATGGTTGCACACTTGTGAAAGCGGGATCGTCCGATGATTGGAATGAGATAAGCTGATTGCCATCCCCAGACACTCTCCCTGTTTATGATGTCACACATGCCATTCGCTCGCTGATTATATCGCGTTGCGAAACTACCCTGTCTTGGGATCAATTGCGCTCGCCTCAAATCTCTCAATTCCTCGTCAAGCCTATCCAGCAAAAGATCAGGGCCTACCACTTCTCCCGGGCTACCTTGTACGCCCTGATGACAAACTGTCTGCAGTTCACCAAAGAGATTCAGTCCAACCCCGGAAACAGTGGCACAAGCCAAACTCGGGCTATCGTGAGCGAGCTTCTAGCTATCAAGCTGCTCAGGGAGTACGACACGAGAGAGTTGATCGATGCTTTGTCCTATGAGTTCTATCCACTACAAGGTCTTACTTCGACTGGTACAGAAAGCTCCCATCGGGCTCCAGGCTGGCAGGCCTCCCAGGCCAATAAGCGGCAAGCTGGAGCTGCCCGCATCTCTTGTCTCGAGATAGCCATCCGTGCCCAAGCCAAGCGGCTGTTATCCCATCCGCTGGTGGTGCAGCAATTGGAAGCGATATGGGCAGGAACTGTGGTTTTCCACTCCGCGGCCGACCATCTCCATCGATCTTCGGCTCAAGTCCGCCCTAATGGCGAATTGATGCGCAACAACGGAACAGTACACAACAACGCTGCTTCTATTACTTTCGCCGCCCAGTCAAGTCCCAAAGGATCAGAATTGCGGCGCTCGGTGACGCTCTATGATCCTAGAGATGCGTCGTTGTTTAAGCTCTCCAGACTGAGGGTACCTCGGTACAGACAGTTCCTTTCAACCTTATCCTTCGCCGTGTTGTTAGTTTTGTTCCTTGCTGTGTTGCGAGAACGCCGCGTGGAGATTACCGCTCTCGAAGTTCTCTTCTGGTTCTGGAGTGCAGGATTCTTACTGGATGAAGTCGTCGGCTTCAACGAACAGGGATTCAGCTTGTACCTGATGAGCTTCTGGAACCTGTTTGACCTGGGAATCCTGTTTCTCTTATTTTGCTACTACTGTTTACGTCTTTATGGCGTCTTTCTGCCATATACTCGCGCACCTGCAGTAGCAAATCAGGCCTACGACATTTTGGCAGCAAATGCGGTGCTTCTATTCCCTCGACTCTTCTCAATTTTAGATCACTATCGTTACTTCTCGCAGCTGATCATCGCGTTCAGAATAATGGCCTCTGACCTTGTGGCTGTGTTTTTCTTGGTCATTGTCGCCTGCAGTGGCTTCTTTGTGGCTTTTACTCTGTCTTTCGGCAGCGGCGAGGTCCACTCTCCGGGATCTATTGCCTACGCTTTGTTTCAGATGCTCATGGGCTTTACCCCAACCGCCTGGAGTCTCTGGGAGGAATACAATGTGCTGGGAAAGATGATTTTGACAGTCTTTCTCTTCATTTGTCATTTTGTGGTTGTCACCATTCTTATTACTGTCCTTACCAACTCTTTCATGGGCATCGTGCAAAATGCCAATCAAGAACATCAGTTCCTCTTTGCCGTGAATACCATCTCCATGGTCAAGTCGGATGCCCTCTTCTCCTACGTGGCACCGGCGAATATCATTGCCTGGGTGATTGCGCCCCTACGCTACCTGATGCCATTTCGGGAATTCGTGCGGATTAATCGTACGATCATCAAACTCACCCATCTGCCCATCCTCTTTACCATCTGCTTCTACGAAAAGGTCATTCTCAGCTCCAAAGTCTTCAACTCGACAGACCTTGTCGACCCGCACGCCTCCGAAGGTCGTGAGCGCTCTCGACCTCCCCGTCAAGGTCGCTTCAGGGCCTTCAGTTCCCAGGCCGCTCGACTTGTGCGAGAACCATCCGTCGCAACCTATCAGAAAGATCGTGCTTTAGACGAAGTCTTCCGGCGGGTATCGTACGATGGGGCCAGTCGACGGCCTGCCAGGCGCTACGACCAACGGACAAGCACCAATCTTGTCAACAATTGGATGCAAGACATGGGCTCTGAGCCGGTCAATCCGCCCGACGAGCAAGATTCCGATGAAGTGAGCCGACTGGAACGGACGCCTCGGAAGTTTCAGCATCCGTTCAAGCGGAGGCTCACTCGGAGTTTGCGCGATTTTACAGAATCCAACCGATCCGCTGTATCGAACCCTGAAGAGCAAGCTGGACACGCAGCATCTTCACCTGCTACGCCTCGCTTTACCCGAGAATTGTTGACTCCCAACAGAAAGAGACAGCTCTCACGGCATACTGGCATGGAAGGTGACGACGAGCTCACGAGCGACGACAACGGTTGGGTGGATGAACAGCAGTCCATTGATGATCGTACCATATCTCAGGATAATGATTCACGAACCGAGGGAGTCAGCCCTGGTAAGACAACGCCCAAGTTCTACAGCTCCCGACCGTCCACGGCACGCATGAAGTCGCACAAGACCAGCCCGAGTCGACGCGCGAGACACCATACCCGGAACTACTCGGTCGCCACTATTCTCTACAACCCCGTGAGCAATGACGGAGAGGCCAGTGTCTCGTCTATCCCTGTTAGACCTAGGGCTGAGACCCCGAACGGCGAGGTCGCGGCCGTTTCAAACTCTGTTGATCGGTGGACCCCGAGGCGGCATAGCATGGACACCGGTAGAAGTCGAATCGCCACTATGGCCCGGTCCAACCCCATGTCTGTTCCAGACTTCGGCAGTGTCTTGGTCACCAACGCTGAGCGGAGACAGCGTCATCGCCCATCTATCTTGGATGGCTTGGGCTCGGACCTGGGAGACAACAAGGCGATTGCGAACGGTTTCGTTGGAGGGGTGCCTTCGAGTTTGACGACCCAAATGGTCTATGCCACCGGCGGTATCCGCCGTACTGAGAATTCTAACAGCAGCCAAGACTTGCTCAGCAAGCTTGTGCTCGCTCGCATGAATAACATCGAAGAAGGGTTCCGCGAAGTGATCAAGGAAGTCAAAGACCTTCGACGCGAAGGGACCAGCCGAAGCCAAAGTCGACCCGACGAGCTGCGGTCCAACCAGCGAGAGAAGAAGAAGAAGCGGGCGGACATGAAGGATGTCAAGAAGAAGCCCAATGGTTCTCGCGGTGGCAGCAATATCAGCACTGATGAAAAGTCAGAAGTGCCATCTGGAGTGTCGCAGCAACACGATGCACAATCCAGCCTGGAGGAGTAATTGCTAGCTTTCCCCTTGTTTTGTCTTCATGGTGCAAGTGTCTGATGATGTATATTGTATCTTTTTTATTGTCTTCATTGCGTTTTTCTATGTTGTTGCACATAAAACATTTGGGTGGCTGTTTCGTGGATACAGTTCGCTATTGATACCCTCGATGTTTGTCAAAGGCAGGTTGTTTTTCGAGAGAGATTAATTTTGGCTCAATTAATTAGTATTATTCTTTAATGCAGCATCGGACTCATCATAATTTCCGGAAATGTTCAATTATTCGTATAGCTTGCATGTCATGTGATCAGCCTTGTAGGAGGCTCCTGACATTCGACCCCATCACCTTTCCCATTCACTCCTCAGCCATAAGCATATTCCCTCCAAAGTCAGCTGCGAAAGCGACTGTCCATTGAGATCATCATTCTTCAAGATATCAAAATCACGTGCACGAATCCGGGGTTCTTGGCGCGCCGACGTCACGGAGCCCGATCATCACTTCCGAGCAAGTCAGCCAGACCAACTCTACAACAAACAACCTCCAATTCACCGGGACCGGCAGTCTTCCCATCATTGCCAACATGGCCTCCTCATCGAAGCCCCCGAGCTTCCTGCTCTAGTACGTTGATCCCCCAATCCCCCACTCCCCTCTAACACCAAAAGCTAACCCATCCTCAAAACAGCACTTGTATAGCCCACCGAACCACCATCCTGGCCGAACATTCCGCCCCAGGATCCTCCAGCACCTCCGCCTCGTCCCTCGCCTCCATCATCCTCCCCAAGATCACCCACGACAAATCCCAAAAGCTCACCTTCACCCATGAACGCCTCTTCGTGCACTACATCGCCGACTGCCCGACCGGCCCGTCGGCGGAGGAGTCATCATCCAGCACGGAGCCCAACTCCTACGCCCCCCTCAGCTACATCGTGGTCGCGACGGCCGAGCAAGGCCGCCGCATCCCCTTCGCCTTCCTTCTCGAAATGAAGCGCAAATTCCTCTCCACCTACCCGCCCTCCAGTGCCGATTTCGCCTCCCTCCCCGCCTACGGCTGTGCCGCGTTCAACTCCGAACTGCGCGCCCTGCTCCAAACCTACAATACCGCTCCGCCGGCCGACTCGCTGGCGTCGGCGCGCAAGGAAATCGACAGCGTCCGGGACATCATGACGGAGAATATCGAGCGAGTACTGGAGCGCGGCGAGCGCATCGATCTGCTCGTTGACAAGACGGACCGGTTGGGTGGGAGTGCGCATGATTTCCGGGTGCGGAGCCGTGGTCTACGACGGCGCATGTGGTGGAAGAATATCAAGCTGATGGTGCTGCTCGCCGTGGTGGTCGTCTTCCTGCTGTACCTTTTTATCGGCATGGGGTGTGGATTGCCGGCTTGGGGGAAGTGTGTAGGAAATAGCGAGTGATGAGGTGTGTCTGTTATGTTACCTACATACTCTCTCTGTCTATCCTCTGGACCCTTGGTCTGGTTGTTATGGTTCATATTTTGATGTTTTATTAGCTTTGGTCGCTTGGTGATCTCACCTGTCTTTATTATTTTCTACTTCCGTCTAATGATCGGCTTTTTTCCCTGCTTTTTTTTTCTTGCTTCACTTCAAGTCGAGCACCACTCGTTTGTTATGATATCACTAGGACGATTTGTTTTATTTCTTCAGTTGTTTACAATTAAAGTCCAAAGCTTGCTCAATCATCTATCCATCACTTGTTCGCCGTACACCAACGCTTGCACATAAGATATCTTAACTGCTATTATTGCTCCCATAAATCGGAATGCAAGCGGCAGTACCAGACCTTCCATAAACAACGAAACATATTTAGAAAAATTTGCTCCCCAACCCATACGATAAAAACCACTGCCTACAAAGAACAATCTCAGAGGTAAAAAAAAAAAATATATTCCAAGTACCTAAACCTAACTAACCAAGCCCAGAAAACACCACTTCTCTACGCAGACGATAAAAATAAAAATAAAATAAAAAACTTGCAGAATAGAATGTATCTCACTCTCAAACCCACAGCTTCCTTGCGTTAGCATCAGTGCGGGTCTGCAAGCGAGGGCAGAGATTGGTTTTAAACCGATTCTGCGAATTCTTCTGCGCCAGTCGTTTACCTCTTCAACCATTGGATGTGTGATTGACGAGGAGATATTGTGGCGGGGTGTCCAGTGATGCGGACAATATGAGAGGGGAGAAAGTAGGGTGTTCATTGCTGGGTGGAGGGATTAGGGGTTGTTAGTTGGGATAAGTTGCTTTCAGCACTCAGGGTGAGTTTTTCAAGTCGGCCATGAATGGAATGGCATTCTGGGAGACATTCGACACGTTGGGTCCCAACATGGTCCGGTTTCGCAACATGATGCGAACTAACGAATCCTTGTGGAGGAACGTCGATGTGAAAATCTTTGGTCATGCCAATGATGCTTGTCAAGCTTCAGGTTGGTGGTGACCCGGTGCCTCCAGAGTTTAAAGGATGGATGTCGAGTGAGCTCTGGCTGTTAGGCTTTGCGCATTTGCTTGACACCTTGCCCGAGCTTTGGACAGTGGTGAGGTCATTGTGAGTCGCCGGTGACAGTATTAGACAGACGATTATCTGTCAATAGATCATGTCTTTGTGTGCAGTAATTTCTGCAACGCGTTTGTAGCCCAAGGAAGACGAAGTTGAATAGCTGAAGAACAGAAGGCCGGCTGGCGGCAAGGAACGAGCCGGACGTTGTGCGTCACATGACCGTACTAAGGCACTGTCGCCCGATGATTGGCTGACACGTAATCTGTCGCAGACCCATACAGGCGGATCTGATCGCCTGGCAGAAAAGTAGCCGCAGGGTTCCATTGGAGAGATAAGGATGGCGGTAAGGAGTTGGTGCCTTTCGGCGCATCAAAGGTCCTATCGCGACGGGCATCGCGAGACAACATTACCCGCTTTCACCAGGTGTTCTCAGGAACAAGTAAGCCAACGTGACCTCATTCTTGCATTCATGTGTTAATCCGTCTATGAGTATCTCGGTTCATCATATTTCCTTCCAATATGCCCACAGAATAATAATCAAGGACTATGACCTCCGCCGCGCAAGATGTCGGACCAAGATTATTACTGGCTTCAAAGCTTCCTGCAGCCGGGTGTCTACCAGCATCCTCTGAGATACGATGATCCTCCGATGCCATCGCTCCAGGGATTTCCTGGGCCCAATGACAACCAGCCTCTACCGTCTGGGACATCTTCTCAGTTCCATAATCCTCAGATGCCATCCTCCCAAAGAATGTCCACCGCCGAAAACACCCCACCTCTACCATCTCGATCTTTTCAGTCCTACGCATCTCCGTATGGCTCACAACCTCAGACTCGACCTCAATCCCAGTCTCAATATCAGCCTCCACCGACGGCCCAATCCTCACTTCACTCTCAGCCTCCGGCCCAATTTCAGCCGCATTCTCGACCCCCGCCTCAGTCTTCAGTACAACCTCAGAGATATGTGACACCAAGCAATATCATGTGCCCAACTCATGCCGTCTCAGCTGGTCCGTCACGTTTATTCGCGATTTCTCGGCCACCATACACAACACCAGGCCAGGCCCATAATCCCAGTAATCTCGACTCCAACAATCCGAAGCCTAGGCCTCCTCCGAGTCAAGCTCCGAGTCAGACCCCGAGTCAGGCCCCTAGTCAGGCTCCGAGCCATGATACCCACGATGCCAAGAGACGCCGCATTACCGATTCAAGTTTGAATTTCTCTACCGCTAGAATGTACAAACCGCCTACCAGTCAAGGCTCAATTCCCGGGGGTACGCCGGGTGTTGGAAAGTTTGCCTCATTCAACTACTCTCCGAAGGATCCTACGAGCAACGTGGGCATCAAAAACCGATCGGATATCGCAGAACCCATGAATCCGGCCGATGCTGCGCAGAAAGAGACGTACGATCCCTCGACAATTGCAAGAGATGTGTTGATCGCGGTGGGACGTCACCCAACCGAGAACTGCTTAAACCACCATTTGCTTCGCCTGCGCGACGTTTTCCCCCTCCTTGGTATCTCGTCGGATTTGGAGACCTTTCGTTGGGACTTGGTAGATCAATCGGCACAGCGCGCGACTACTGCACGTGACCCCGTCCAAATCCACGCGCCCGCGCCCGCGCCCGCGCCCGTGCCCACACCAGCGCCTGCACCAGGTTTCGGCGTCCTGGCTCCGCCTGCCGCTCCGCCAGTAGTAGTACCTGTCAACAAACCCACCGCCCAGCAACTGCCACTACCACCACCCAAGCCCAGACAAGTGCTTGGGACACCTGCCCAGCAGCAACCCCAGCACCTTGCACAAAATTATCGGATTTCTCTTCAGGTCCAAATTAAGCCTACCCCACCCCCACCACAACCGCCTTCACGGACACCGCAGCCGACCGTACAGCCTCCTCCGCCAAAGTCTCAGACCACGCCCAAATCGCAACAAAAGACTCCGTCGCAGTCGCCGGCAAAACCAGTCACGCCAACCGTGCAAATACCATCGGTGAAAATGCCTGGGAAGAGGCCCCCCGGCAGACCACCCGGTCGGCCCCCTGGAAGTACTAACAAGGTCCAGAAGGTCCAGCTGGCTGTCCCTCCCCCAAAGGTCAATTACCCGGTTTTTGCGTGCGGTTGGGAGAAATGCCAGTCTGAGGTGCACAACCTTGAAGTTCTGAAAAAACACATCTATAAAAGTCATGTTACGTACAGCATTTCTTGTTCGTGGAAGGACTGCGACGAGACACAGAACATGCCGGCTGCCGCGCTCTACAAGCACATTAAGAAAAAGCACATTGACCCCATTGCTTGGAAATTGGGCGATGGGCCGTCAGTACCTAGAACGGGTGAGAAAGCATCTAGATGACTTGCATTTCGATTGCATTAGTTTTGTTTTCTATGAAAGGAGAATAATTGTTAATTATGGTTTGAATTATTCATGTCACAGGCGATACTAGCACGACCGCTAGTCCGGGACCTTTTACCCTTCCGGCCTCTAACCAACCTCAAGGCGAAGATTCCCTCATATTCCCAGCCAGTTACAGCTCGATCCGCGCGTTTAATAAGGTTCATGGGAAAAATACACAACATGCCAAAGCTCAAGAGATATTAAAAGCTGTGCAAAGACTCAAAGAGCAGATTGGCGTTGGTCTGGACCCGGGTGGGTGTCAGCTGGCGACACCCACCCGAAACCATAGACTGAGTAAAGAGGAGGACTTCTATGAAGTGATAACGGACGGATGAAAACTATGGGCGGGATTCTCCCACATTTTGTGGACCGAGAGCCGTTGGATCTCGGTTTCCTCGACCTACATTGCATTGGATCGGTGCGCTTCTCAGGATATGGCGTTCCGGCACATCGAGCGAACATTTGCGTTGTTATTTTTCTTTCAGGATTCCCCCCCCTTCGTATTTTGTACTTTTACTGTATCCTCCCGAGTCACGCAGGACTGACAAATGCCCCTGCCAAAAGACGATTGGTTATTTGGTAGCCCGTGGTTAATTGAAATAATGGAATAGCTATCCCAGTATCATACACCACCTATCTATCTCGTGCAAACACCCTCCAATCCAGGAATTATAAAAGCAGGGGGTATCCATCCATATCAACGCTGGTATCTTAATCTTAACCTATTCACTTTGCAACCTCACACCTGCGATCACTCAAACGTAAAGCCATTGATTAATTGATTGTATTGCATTGCAAAGCATTGCGCTCACACCAACCAACCAACTAGCCTAGTGATTGATTCTTTCTCCCCCTTACACTCCACAGCAAGGAAGCAACCAAGCACCCGAAGTAATTGTTTATTTATCCTTCCCACTCGACACGCCGCCCTCTGCCGAAACAGACGAACCAGCCGCCACGGAAGAGCCCGTCGCTTTCTTGCCCTTCAATGCGCCCGCATCAAGAGTGTCGTCTTTAGAGTTGACTTCGAGGAAATGGTACAGCACGATCATCATCATGGCGCAGGAGCCGAGGAACACGGCAAGACGGTGGAGATCGTCGTCGGAGATCATTTTGAATAGAGTGGGGATGTGTAGATTAGGACGCGGAGAGAAGGAAGGTGATATTCGTATCGATGGAAGCGATGGATCGGATTAACGGGACGAGCTACCCAGGGGACAAGAGGTATAGGTAAATCGGAAGTTGATAGCTGAACCGGAGAAGCCACGTTAGCTCCTCACGTCACGACCACCGACTAGCATGGAAGAAGGAAATCAACTCACGTTTTGGAATCGCGGATAGGAATTGAAATTTAGGTATGAGTTCCTTACACGCCTCAGGACCAGGAGGGTAGGATGGAATCAGGGAGGATGGAAGTGGTGGGTAGGTAGACGATGCGCAATCGTAATCTACGGGATTAAGGTTGCTCTCTCCCGCGGCGGCCAGAAAAGTGACACCTAAGGCAGAAACTCTGCTCTTGACACCTGAGGCGCATATTCCTCCCAATCTGAATCGAGCTCATCCCGGCGTATCGCAGGTCGCCACAACGGTCGAAACTTAATTTCTACACCGAGTCATGGCGGTTCTTCTTTTCTTTCATCTGGTTTGTTCGTGCTAGGATTCGGTGTGACATTCCCTTTTCGTACTTTGGATTGTTGGTGGTTTTCTCGCTTCCTATGGTAAGGATTATTGGTCTTGGTATTGGATGGAATGGGCTGGGAACGATCATAAAACGGCAAGGAAGGCTTTCATGATGCATCGGGCATCAATTTTAGGGAAGATCCTTGTAATATTTGATGGTCTATTTCTTTTTCCGGCCAAAAACTGTGAATTGGCTGCATCTTGTTGTTCTACAGGTTCCTTGGCAATGGCACTCTTGAAGCCGGGGAGATGTGATGATTTTCTCTGGACCAATTGAGTAAAAGCTTTCGCCATTAAATATCTCGCAGCAATAATTATTTGAAAGGAATAGAAAGGCAATAGAGAAAACCACTGGGAATTCCTCCCACCCTTGCAGAATGTGCTGTCAGAGCGTTGGTCTCACAACGGCTTCAAGATCGATAGCTTCAGGAATCCTTTCTTGGCTCCACTTTGACAGGCTAACGGACTGTCCGGTGGATCCGCCTACTGGTTGGTAGGTCTGCACCTGGATTTTCTCTGGATTAATTGGCGTCCAAGACTCCAACGGCGCCCTCGACGGGTGTCTAATCCTGTTTATGAAGGAGAGACACTGCATAAGTCACGAACTAGTCAACTGACTACTGGACTAGTTGTGATTTGTTTGTTAGAGAAGAGGATTAGATTAGCTAATCTGCCTGCGGGGAGAGAATCCGTACCTGTGCCGACACCTGATAATCCAGGCAGGTGCTTTGCATGTTTTGCTCGGCTTGGGGATCGGCTGGGATCGACTTCTTCGCTCTTCTTCTCTTTTTTCTTTTTTCCTTCTTTCCCTTGTCGCTCCTTCCACCCTGCTGGGTTGTCTGTGCTCCCGATTTTTTCTTTTTTCTTTCTTTCTTTTTTCCTTTTCTTTTCTTCTTCTTCTCCTTCCGGCCCGTGACGCTCCACCAATCTCCCCGCCTCGCCCACACGCCAATCTCGATCAATCTACCCACTTCCTGCACAGTTACTGACTGTCCTTTTTTAAAAATCGCTCCCCCCCTCTTCTTGATTTATTCTTCCTCTTCCGTGTTTTAGTTTATTTCTAGGGATATATGGGTGGCCTAGTCAAAATTCGAACAATTCACCGTCTCTACTAGTCCGTCAAGATGAACGAGCCATTCAACCCCCCCATGAACACAAACGCAACCGCCGTCCCTAAAGGCGCTGGACCTTCGCTCTTGGCCTGCCTGACTTGCCGACACAAACATCTGAAATGCGATGGCAAGACCCCCATCTGCGGTCGATGCCTAGCCACGAGCTCTGAATGCCAATATACCCCTTCTCGTCGCGGTTATAAGGGTCCCTCGAAGAAGCGCCGGGCCAATCCGTCTTCCCCCGACCAGCTGGCCGCGGACCTCGCCTTCGACCCCCAGAACGTTGGCTTGATCAACGTTCCTACCGACTGGAGTCTCCAGGCCAGCTTGCAATATATGCCGCCGCCTCCTACGACTCTGCCCTCGACCTCCTCCGGTAGCCCTCTGTTAACCAACACCAACACCTCCGAATCGTCGCAACCTGTCCGATTTGACCCTCTCACCCCCGACTCGTCATCCGCCATTGGCAATGATGGCTACCTCATCGATATCTATTACACCTTCTTCCATCCTTCACACCCAATCCTCCCGCCTCTGCGTCACTTCCAGAAATTCTACATTCCGCCCTTCCTCGAGCATGTGATCAAGTTCGTCGGTTCCCATTTCACCCAGGCCACCTCCAGCGAGCCGTATCGACCTACCGTGAAGACGTCGGTCATGGAGCAAGACGGCACCATCGAAAAGTTGCAGGCGCTGGTGATCCTAGCCATCGTGCTTCATTCGCGCAATGAACGGGGCGAGGCCGGAGAATGTCTCGCCATGGCGGTTGACCTCGCCTTTGAGCTGGGACTGCACACCGAAAGCTATGCGGCCAGGATGGGTGAAGGGGATCCGGTGCGGGAGGAGAGCTTGAGGCGAACTTGGTGGGAGTTGTTCATCATCGAGGGCATGTTGACCGCCCTGGGCGTCCAGCAGATCTTCCGCACGAGCTTAGTGCCCCCGGAGGTCCCGCTGCCCTGCGAGGAGCGAATCTACCAAGATGGATTGACACCACCCCCGCCCCCGACAATCGCGCAGTTCGATGATCGGGTCTTCGCCGACGAGGAGCGGGACTTCTCGTCCTTCACCTACCGTCTGGAGGCCGTCCGCATTCTCGGCCGCGTGGTGGCCATCCAAGACATGGTCGAGGGCCAGCAGGATCACGTCGAAGCCATCGACGCGCGCATTACCAGTTGGTTCCACCACCTGCCCGAAACCAAGGCCGAACTCCTGCGGTCGGACGGCACAGTAGACGAGATGATGTTCCAGGCGACGATGATTGTCAACGGCGCCGCCATCTACCTCCACTTCCCGCGCTCTGACCTGCTCTCGTCGCCCGCCGTCGCCGCGGAGGTCATCTGCGGCCACACCGGGCCGTGCAGTATCCCGGCCTTCTCGCACCACGCGCACGCCATGAAGGCCGTCAAGGCCTCAAGCGAAATCTCCTCCCTAGCATCGATCCGCATGCCCGTCTTCAAGCATACCCCGTTCTTCATCTGTGCCCTCGTCATGAGCTCCATCGTGCAGCTGGCTGCCTGCTCCGTCAAGGCCGGACAGATGCCCGACCCCAGTCGGGACCGACTTACGCTGACCATCGGCGTCTTCAAGACGCTCGCCCGCACCTGGGCCATCTCGCAGACCATCATGCGGCAGATCAAGGCTGTGGCTCGCGACGTCATGGATCTCGGATTACGTCCGACCATCGACCAGATCGACTTGACGACTGTTCTTGACAATAACGGTCGATTCTGGATGTCTTAAAGAGAGAAACAGGAAAAGAGAAATACATTTCAATACAAGCAAGCAAGCAAGCAAGCAAGCAAGCAAGCAAGCAAGCAAGCAAGCAACCATGAATGAATTAAATCAATCTTTATAAACATTTTGCATCGTCATGAAAAACCTTTGCATTTTGATATATTTCGGGTGGGACTAGTTGTTTCCACTCCACCATATTTCGGCTTTTCTTGTCTTTTTTTTTTTTTTTTTTTTGCATTTCATTTCATTATCTATCTGCTATGTTTAAATCCTGTTGATATGTTCTGTTATGTCATGGCTTGATATCCGACTGATATTGATGTTGATGTTGATATTAAATACTGCTTTTCCAAGACTATAATGATACCCTTTTTCAGCCGCATATTCGTTCTGGATCTAAGATATCTGTAATGGAGTCGATCTTCATTTATT